ATTTACAATTACATTTTTAGTGGTTTGGTAACATTTCAATACGAATTATTATGAAATCCACATCATATATAGCACTGTAAATGATTTTAAGGCTGTTATGAGGTTGTTCCAATTATCCTCTTGCTTAAATGTGCTTGCTTAGGCGTGAAAAACCCTCATTTTGCTGTATTTTCTAACAATTTTAGCTCGTATCTTAATACTCTTGTTAATATTTACATTTACGTTTTCCACCAGGTCCTTAAAGGTTCTTATTCACACTTATCTGATGAACATCCCCGAGGGCACCAAGACCCGGCAAACGGAGGCCTGGGCGACAGTTCCACCGTGCCGTTGATGCTGAATTCATCAAACCGTCAGCTCTACTCGTTTGAGGCCGAAGTCGATGGAGGCAAAGGCTGCAACGATGGTGAAGAACCGGCAGTCCATGGCATGGCGGTTCCCGTGGAGAAGCACAGCAAACTCTGTGACACCAGAGACATAGACTTCTGCTCCAGGGACAGACGACGTGGATCGCTGACAGACAGCTGCTATGAGAACGCCCACCTTTGAATTGATCAGCGTTAGAGGTCCTCTTGAACGTCTTGCTAGGCCCGATGTCTACAGTTCTCATGCCACCATGGTGTACTCTATAGTACATCTGAGCAGATTAACCGCCATATTGAGAAGACCCGGCCTCGTCTGGCAACAAAACACACAAAGCATACGCTGATATATACATATTTTATTTATTTATTTATTTATTTATTTATTTATTTATTTATCTATCTATCTATCTACATGCACATACATAAATTGTGCAAATGACCCTTCTCAAATGTATGCTGCCATGTCCAGACAGACGGTTTACCCAGGCCGCTGCATTTCTGGCCCTCAGCTCAACAGCTGCCGCCGAATTCGTCCTCTTCACTTGCCCTCCTATTGGTTACCAAGCCAATTTGCTTGCTCGAAATGGGAAGATGCGTGATTCTCCAGTTCACACAGTCCCAGCAGATTTCACGCCAACTCACGGACACATGTGCATAAAAACACACTCAGGTGCAAACGATGACAGTCGATTAGCCATGCATCAGTCACCAGCACTTTAGTTCATTTCCAGAGCCTTGGAATAGGTTGCCACATTGTACATATACGTTCATAATTCCATAGTATCTTGCCTGCTGCACTATCACCACCGCTTCTGCTGAGATCAGGAAAGACCTCCCTGCTACGCATCGCAACAGACATTCAGCTTCTTAAGCGTATATTTTATTGCTACCACCTCTAGGCATTCAGCCTCATCCTAGCTTTAAATGACTTTATTTCACCCAACTACTTATGACACGTTTTCACTCTCTGGCTAAGCTGCAATGATTTGTGTTTAAAAGAAACGCAATATAACATTTATAATATATTGCGTGAGCGCAACACTTATTTAGCCCTTGCTTCCGTTTCAACCGTACCAATAAATAAGCATTGACTAAGGTCACTAAACACCAAATTATTTGTGCAATATTTTCAACCGTCCTGGATTTTCTGCATTCTGATTACGCGCCTTCTTTTGTCTTTCACACAACTTTCTCAGCTGCTGACCACTGCACTAAATATGTGAGAGGAAGTCCTTTGGCCAGCATGCTCAAAGCAATGAATGCGTACTGCGCTATGTACAAACAAATAAATGCAACTTCTCTAAAGAAGGCAGAAAACAATAGACCTTTATTCATTTCTTAATTGGGCATTGTCTTGGCATGTTCACTGCATTACATGTGTCCAATGAGCTTAAGTAATGCTCGTGCCGATTATGATTCGGATGAAGAAGATAGGGCTCAGGGCAAAGTAGAGAAGGTAACTGAATTTCGAGGGCTCTCTTGTAGTAAGGATATCTCTGCATTTTGCATGCCATGTCAAAATGATTGAATTGGTGCGTCTTAGAACATTACCCCTCAAGTGACGTCATTCCAATGCTATAGTGTAATTATTTTTCGTATGTAAGTAGAGTTTCGAGACTACTGGTAAATCAGTAGTATGAGATGTACTCATACTATTTCGTTGAATGGGATGAAGGACTTATAGAAGAATTTTCCTACAATGATATGAGTAGAGCCGACATTCCCATCGAATTTCGCATAACCTTGCTTTCCCAGAAGTTCTTCTCATCTGAGGAGGACTACCGTTTCGAGCTCGCCTAGGTCTTATCAACACCCTCAGTGACAGTGCAAAATGTGAGCTTGAAACGTTAACCACTGGGCCACATTGCTAGGAATGCCCCTGGGTCACATGACAGATTTGAATTTCGAGGAATACATCTCATATTACTGATTTACTGGAAGTCTAGAAACTCTAATTACATACGAAAAATAAGTAGCGTAGTCGATTGTTATAGCAAAAAACGTTTGCTTCATCGACAATCCCATCAAAGAATGTGATATGAGAAGAGGCATGACCTTCCTCGAAATTCACATCTGCCCTGTGAGCCAAGGGGACTCGTGGTAATGTGGCCGATTGACTAATGTGCTAAGCTCACTTTCTGCACTGTCAAGGTTCGACTCCCGCTGGGGGTGTTGATAAGACCTATGCGAGGTCGAAAGTGCAGTCTACTCCTGCCCGGATGAGAACAACTTTTGAGAAAGCATGGCTATGTGAAATTCAATGGAAACGTTAGCTCTACTCATATCATTGTGGGAAAATTCTACTACCAGTTCTTCGTCACCTTAAACGAAATAGAGTGAATACATCTCATAAAAGTGTAATTAGTTTGAGAATGAATTTCCACTGCTATACAGAATTAGTATAGATTAGGTTAAGAAAAGCTGGTTTTTTTGCCTCTATGGATTATATACAGTTACGCTTAAAAGTGAAGTCACCGTAACCTACGAAGCGTTGTGCTTTGGGCCAGCTTTCTGCGTATCTTGTCTGAGCCATATATTCAATGAGTTCAGATTTCTTAATCCAGGCGATTTTGTGTTCAGATAACCTCTCCTGGAATGGACGGCAGATCTCTCCCACTCAGACACTACCACATGTCAACTCTGATCTAAAAAGGGGGTGCGAAACTTCCCGAAAAGAAGGCGCGATTGAGAAGAGTGTTAGGTTCTCTCTATACACCGTTCTGTTTCACTTCCTCAGTTATTCATCTACATTCATTATATTTATGAGTGCTGAAAGATAATTATCTATTAGTCATAGTACAATATTATTTTTAATTAATATATTCTCCTAATCTAGTGATTTTATAGCCCCGGTCATTTATCTCCACCAAAGGTTAACTTATCATCGAGTTTATAGTCCATACTTTCACCTCATATGCATGATTGTATAAGAAATTAATAAGGAAACTCTCTTGTGTGGGCTTCCTATTTACCTTTGCCTATTATAACATCCTAAAATGGCAGCGTATTCTTCTTTACTGACTCCATACTAAATTTAGAAATGCCTTATAATCTATTTATTAATTCAATAAATTTCTCCAATCTAGCTTTGTCGTGTTGCTAAATAACAAAAATAATCGTCCATATACCTAATTTATCATTTTGAAAGCAGGAGTGTCTCTTTAAATTATCAAACTTCCAATGAAGCTATGCAGTTATTAGCTAAAATAGGGGCTAACGAAGTCCCTTTAACCAAAGCCAGTTGTTGCTCATACCATTAAAGGTAAAATATACACTTATTTGAGTGACATAATGA